TACAGGAAAATAACTACGGATCGCAGAGAAATGTGTACTGGGCTGGAAAATACAACAAATTAAGTTCGACAGCATTGAGAAAATGAAAACCCAAACATAATATTTTCCTTCACGAGCCCTTTCACAGTTTCAAAAGTGAAAGTCTTCATGCACAGAAAGTGTTTGCATGTATTTCAAGTTTCACTTTCAGACACCCACAGCACTGCAGAGAGCTTCCTTCCACGTATGTGTGCATATCGTGCACACACCATCGCAAGGCACATCCAGCTTGTCGTCACCGCCCGATCGACCTTGAGCCAGTCGTGCAGGAGTGTCGTCATGGCAACACAGCTTTACACAAGCAGCCACAGCTGGATGCAACTTACACATTCCTCTTAAATTCGACTTGTGCTATAGGACACTGAAGGGAGCTGTAAAACGTAGCAGCAACGCTCACGCGCAGATGCCATGCAGAGACTCTTAATTATGACTCACAAGTTTCCAAATGATTCGCACAGAATTTCTGACTGACGAAAGACAAACCTTCACAGTTGAGCTCTTGATTGGGTGTCTAAAAAGTGAAGGGAGAAAGTTGCTGTTTATGAACCGGGTAAACAGAAAGAAAAACTGGAAATTTATTCCATGATAAACAACCTGGCATTCATTCGAAGCGCTAAAGGTGTACAAAAGTGGATGAGTGAAAGGAATTCAATTTATTACTCACTCTGGACTTCACTGAGGAGGACTAACTTTACTTTTTTTCTCTGGTTAGCAGAATGGAAAGTTACAAGGATCTACAAATTAGTGTAATAAATCATGGCACAAGCTCCAAATCAGAAATATTTATGTTTGAGAATGTTTTCGTTGAAGATCTGAACGGTGCAATAAATCTTTAATATCCTGTAAGCTCCAAACGGTTCGTTTTTCGATTCATTTTGCATACATGAGTCACTGAGATGTGAGTCAACCTCGCCTCACGTATTAAAAGTTAGCAGGGCTAAAATTCCCGCCTGCACCAACACCTTTAACTACTCCAAGCAAAAAGTCATCACAAGTAGCAGGTATCACATTTCAATTAGTGCAACAATCAAGCTTTTGTTTCAACCCACCGCCACCAACACAAGCGCCTCGGAGCAACACTATACACCCCCCACCATTAATCTTACATTTGAAACAAACACACAGATACATGATATAACAGGACAATTTTCCCTGTTCTGAAAATAACCATCACCCACAACAACACTGTTTTCCTTCTTTCGCTCTCACGTCGCACTCAGAGAACAGCAGTTTCAACTTCTTCGACTATTGTGGACTGACAAATGCAAAATGAGCGTGGACGATCAGATAAGTGTCAGAAAGGTGACGAGAAGCGCATTAGTTATTCTGCTGTTTCGCTAGTCACAACCTCCTGCGATCCAAGAGGAAACGTGAAATATGCAAAAAGGAACATTTATAATAGACATTAAGGAATATTTTACCCAAAAGTGAAAACAACTTTATTTAACGTTATTTCTGTCTTCCGTGGAGCGCAAAAGGTGAATTCTGGATGAATATCATGGTCGCTCTTTTCAAAATAATGGAAGTAAATGGGGACTGGGGCGGTCAAACTCCAAATTCTATGAAAGTAAATAAATCAAATCGTAAAAAGTATCATAAAAGTGGGTCATAAGACTTTGTGCAAGTGTTCTGAACTCACATGACAGTTTTTGCATGATAAACAGACCAAGACTAAAGTCATCTCTGAAGCATGTGAATCAATCGTTCTTTTGAGTCGGAGCATTTCCCTGAAATGGCTGATCCAGTTCAAAAAAACAGAAAGTCACGAGTTCAAATCACTGACCGGTATTGTTAAAGTCAATTAAAAATAAAACTGACAAAAGCACATATTACTAAAATTAAAATGAAAATACAAAAAAGTCAAAATATTAATAAATACTACATTATTATATGAATAATACTAAAATAACACCGTCACGGGCTCATGATGCATCAGTTAACGGCCACTAGATGGCAAGATTATCAGTGAATAATAACTTAAATTTTGGTCTGTTCATCACACAATGCTTCAGAATACATTAAAAAAAACACACACAAATCAAACAGTCGACTTTTATGATACTTCATGGTGCTTTTGCCACCAGTTGTCTTGATTTAGCCTCATTCTATTAAAAAGAGCAGTCTGGATGTTGCTAAAAATGTTAATGACAATATAATAATAATGACCGTTTTCATATTATTTGGATTAACTATTCCTTTAACCACAACAATGGACTCTAAAATAAGACAAAACACATAAGATGTTTAAATGTTCAAATCAAAACTCAGATGGTCCTTCAAAAATCATGGGAAATCTTTCGCACAAGCCTTTTTTTTTTTTTCCCCTGAGAGCGTCCGAGTTAATGAGTTATAGAACCCGAGCTAACAAATGGACGAGGACAGAGAATCTATGCATCCTTTAATTCTTAACCCCATCTGCAGTCAAAGCGTTCAACACAAGATTGATTCATAGTTAATGCAGCCTGACGCTTGGCGTGTGAGAGAGAGGGAGCTGGGGAGAAAGAACAGATAAAGGGGGAAGGGGGGCTCAGCCTGCGACCAGTGTGAAGAAGAGTTCAGAGGGTCTTTTCCCACACGCAATCAGGGCATTTGTGGGTCCCGTAGCGTGTGAGCACCAACATACACCGCTGTGCATAAAGCATGTTCTGTTCTCATGCGTTCAACTACAGAAATGCTTTAAAATTACACGCTTATATTAAACAATTTTTATACACTGAATAAGTGCACTACAGGCTAAAGAGGCTGCAGCTTTGAAATGTAATAACATAATTATTAGGAAGATTCTTACTGCACTATGGAGGCAATAAAAGCAAATCAGCCATGGTTCTAAAAAATATGTTATTAAACAGTCAGAGTGCAAGCATGTTATCTACCTGTACCTTCAGTGTCCAAATAACAAGCAAAATATATTTCAAAGCGTCTATATATGTCAGCATGAGTGCATGTGGATTTTGGGGAAACGTTGGTTGGTCCTACAAATGTGGTTCTGTGATCTTTCTATAAATGGGCAGTGAATATTTTCAAAACAGTGGGATGTGGTCAAACTCTTCTAGCTCAGAAACTGCTGCATTCTGGATCACTACATAACATGAATCGCTGTGAATTCAGAGGAACTTCCACAAACTTGCCAGCAGCGCTGCAGTGCACAGAATACCTCAGGCTAAAACACTGCAATTAACATTGCAAGAGCAAAGAATAGGAGTGTTAAAAATAGTGTCTCTGATAAGAATCGTTCACGTTCCTGCATTCACAATGAGCGCGTTTTAAAGACGCCTGTCGTGTCCAACAACACTATCTGGGTAGAGAGTTCACTGGGGTTTGAGACACAGCCATAATTACAGCATCTAATACAGTCGGTATGACCTACATCACACTTTATCATGACAAATATGCAATATGACAAAAAAAAATTTAAAAACTAAAAGATATCACTATAGTGGTCAACACTGATTTGAACGGTTTTCTCAGCTAATTAATACACCACAGTTTGGTAGGTAGCAAAGCAAATGCATAAAACACTGTAAATATTGCCCAGCTTTAATTTGTTCATTTCTGACTTATTATCATTTAATCTCCACCCTCTTTGTCATGAACCAGGAAACTATCTTGTTGTTTGGGTCATTTGAACGTCATCATATTGAACTAAGAGCAAAAGTTACAAAACATCTGCATAATAAAACATCACACTACTCATCTGAACAGATCAGTTTGAGGTCAGTAAGTTGTTCATTAAAGGTCAGAGTGAAAAAGTTGGAAGAATGAATAAAAATAAGTATTTATGATAGAGACAGATAATGGGTTAAGATTGTTATGCTTAAACAAACGGACTTTAGACCATGTAAACTATCACGTGATCCAAAAACTGGTCAAAACAAACTTGATGCTGATCAAATAATTAAAACAAGCAAAACTCCATATTATATTAATCTCAACATTATATAAACCAGCAACGGGAATAGTACAGCAATTACAAAAATAACTTACTCATTTAGGGTTGTTATGTATCTCAAAACATTCAGACTGGATTCAAACCTATACAAAATATTCATTAACTTAGGAAACAAACTGCGTCTACTTAATGGCAAAATGTTAATAAGATCGCATAAGACTTGAAGAAATACTGCTGGAGAATGTTGTCTCTGGCAACACTGTTACTACGATTATTGTCTCAAAGGCAGAATAACTAGGTGGCAAGATCCCCACCGTGGACAAGACTGTACTTCTGAACAACCGGCATCGCGTAACATTGCTTCACGAACACAATAATAGCTTAACTGTATCCACTTACGAACGCAATGAAGTGATTCGGTTCACTTACCGGTTTAAATGTATCCAGTGAAACACTCCAGTTTCTTTAAGCCACTTCTACGCATCCGCCATCTTCAGCATTAGCTATGTTTGTTTAAATGGGAAACACTCCCAAAGCTTAAAGAAGCCTGCCCGAACCATGCGCGCGGGGACTTCTGGGTACTGTAGTTGCGCCATCCGGCCGATCCGCGCATTCTACACAGAGCTAGAGAGAAAATAAACTACAAATACATGAACCCCCGCAGATCGAAAAATAGACATCCAGTAGGAGATGGGCAGTAGTAGCAATATTGTAAAAAAATATATAGTGCATTTATTTTTAGCTCATCCAAGGGCCACATAGAGATAAAAGTCACGTATCCCTAATGAGTAGGCTGACGTACGCCTTACATAAGTTAAGTGTGATCAATTCGTTGTCTTCGCGAGAGTTCGAATTATTTGTTTTGTAGCACACCTTTTTATTCATAATCTGTAAAATCAAATCACTTTATTGGTACTACAACATGTGCATAAGTCTCATGCGGTCCACTAACATTGCAGCCACAGTATAAGTCAATGTACAAGAACACATATATACACAGTCGAGATTTACACGTAATATACACACAAAGTTTACATTACACAATATACACGATGTACAAGCACTTGAACAGTTACGCTACTTGAAGTTATACGAATACGTTGCAGAATGCTATTCAGTATGCACAATATTGCATAATGTGAATTAGTTTGCAACCAAAAGTGATAGAGATACTGTGGTTATTTGTGTTGGAAAATATATGCTATATTTTTGAGGCAAATAGGGAGGTAAACATCTATCATTTTATTTGTCATTACTAAGACATTATATTATGCATTGATTTGATTATGCATTGAAGTAAGCTGTTGTTTACATTGATGATACTTGCTAGGCAAATGGGTGACATACTGTGTGTTTTTATATGGTTAGAAAGAAATATGTTCTTGTAAAGGTAAAAAAAAAACATCAAAATTAATTTTAAGCGTGTAAATAGTAATTAATAATAAATTAAAATTACAATAAACAATAAATATTTTCGATACTGCTGCATGTGCAAAAGGAAAGCCTACAAAATAAAGGCTGTAATGTGCAATAAATATGACACAGCAAACTTTGATAGCATTACTGTAAATTATCAAAAGCATGTGAATCTATGACTGATATACATAATAGGCTCGCATTTTGTCATGCATATTTATATATTTAGATCTTCATGTAAAGAGAAATAAATGGTCAAAAAGGCATTTTAGGACACACTCATATTATTGTGGTCAGCAGAGGCTGCAAGTGCTCTGCCCTCTGAAGACCAGACCTGGAAGATAGCAATGAACTCGTCTCCATGGTGATCTCTGAGGCATACCAGTGTAGAATTTCAACTGTTGGAGAAGGGGGCAGCGCTAAAAA